ACGTACAGTACTCAGATACTTGGTACAGGACATCCAGGTAAGCAACAAGTTTGACACTGTCCATTCACATTACAACTTACGACTGCCTCGCACATCCATACAAAGATTACGCCTAACTGAAAGTTTACTGTAGTCATTTGGACACACGGTCACGCTCTGACACAAAACTCATCGAACACAGGAATGGGTCACTGTGGTAAACAACAAACCTTTTGATGTTAACCTCAACAACAGAGCAACACGAGTAATAAAACTGTTTTTACAATACAAACGTATAACATGGACACTGCCTTTCCTTTGTTGTATCTCATAGATATCTATTCTTTGCCTATTTGATTCGTTGGGACCTTTTCCTTCAAATAAACTTGTATTTTTAACCGGGGCCCTTATTTTACGCAAATCCAATCCCTCCAGCTCTTAATTTAGGGATCCAGGGGCTAAATATCTCTGGGACATTTGTTGATGTTCTGTCTCTTGGCAATATAACCCAGTAGGAATTCACAACATGCAACTTTTCACCAGCGTAAAAAACAAAGGACTACCGTAATTCTTTTTTCCAGGAAGGTCAATTACGTATCTAATTTTAGCAATCAATTTGGAGCTAACCCGATTCTTCTGTAATTACTGTGTATGGTTCTGATGTTTGAGTAGCTGATTGCACTAAAACAAACTGTGCAGGCCGAATGCAACCTGGCATTTTCAGTCCAAGTCTGGGTTTTTAACAAACCTTAATTTGTATCATTCTTTCCACTTTGTAAGCGCACTTTGAACAGTAAATGAAGATAATTTGAAGAATGTTTAAATGTTTTCTATCTGGGCTCCTACCAACTTTTCAGAAAGGTATTCTGCCCTCGTCAAGAGTACTTGGGAAAGAAACGTTTAGTCAGCATTTCAAGATGGTCCCTTGTAAAGCAAACTGGTTCAAAAGGCCCTTTACATTTAGGCCATTAAGACGCAGTTGGTCTCTTTATAGTTTTTCCAAATAACTTTAAAGTAAGTGTATTAAAGAAGGGGAGTGGAAACGATGAGAGTTCCTTCTTGGAAACAGATTGCAAAACAAGCCATAACAATTTTCAAATTCACTGCCAAGATTGGTTTCATGTCTTTTTGGTGAGTGATTTTAAATGTAGACGTTTCTGTTTGCCATATAAACCAAAGAGAGTACTTTTATTGGAGTTACGAGTATAAAGGAAAACAAAGAAATAACCTAAAGCTCATACTTTTACTGAGTGAATGGCTCGGAGAGGTCTTCAGACTGGCTCTGAAGGGTTCGGCTATGTTCCTCATGGAAAGCCAGGAAAACGATAAAAGAGCAGAGGTCCCCAACCCTGGTCCTTGTAGTCCACTGTCCTGCATGTTTTGCCTGTTTCCTTGCTTCAACACACCTGATTTAAATAACTGAACAGCCTACTCAGAATGTTATCCAGTTTAACAGAAGCGAGTCAATGACTCATTCATATCAGTCAGGTGTGTTGGAACAGGGAAACCTGTTCCATCTCTGATCTACGAGGATCAGGAATGGGGACCTCTGACCTACAGGAAATGTTGCAGTTGCAGGATTTCTGTCGCAATTTCAGGTTCGTCATCTTGCTGACTGCTCTCCTGGGGGCTTTGTACAAGATGCACCTTTATGTCGCCTGGAGAACTTGTCTTTCGATCCCCCGTTTGACGATGGATTGCCTTTTAGACCCCCGGCTTCTTGACTGCCTTCAGCCTAAAGTACAAGGTATCAAGACCCTGCTCTGAACGGTCCATGAGGATTGACAAGGAGCCATACTTGGCGGTTTAGTTTGAGATGCCGTGGACTTGCAGTTCTGGCTCAAACCTCAGAACTCAAATTACTCCAGTGCGTTATAACGGTCTTGCTCTAGCCATTGCCTGAGGATATCAACAAACTAGTACACCAACTCTATGATAAATGCACATAGCTGTTTACAATACACAGCAACTTGCTGCCCATTATGGAGAAACAAACAATCTAGATGACTATATTTAAAATGTTATACTACTTTTATACTTTTAATCAGTTGTTTACTTTGTCTGAAACGAGGAGTATGCTGCTGCTGATCAGCGCTCGCTGCTAAGCTAACGCTAAAATACCAGCTGTGATATGTCAAAACCAAAAGAATAAAGCCGGGAAAAAGTACCATCTTTAACATTTTTTGCGAAAGTGATGCCAACAGCTAATATCCAAGACGTTAGACACAGATGCGGACAATCTCAGCAGACGGGTAAGACGTGTTCTTCTTAATTAGCTGTTTGGTGTCACGTCGGAGGTTCCTAAATCTTTGGGGTTTTCACTGCGGGCTAGGCCACACAAATACACAACACAACCCCTCTACAAAAACATCCAAGTTCTCACTCATCCAAAGACCTTTACTGTAACTTGGCTTATCGCAAGCGTTACAATTATACTTATATTTAATGGGAATATTGATCTTCTATGGCTGAATAATGGATAACTGTCTGTGGTTTTACAAAGCGCTTTGCAGTATTTCTCTCACACACACACACACACACACACACACACACACACACACACTAAAAGCAGTGCAGCTGCTTCCATTAGTGACTTAGCCCCTGTCGACACTATTTCAGATTTTTTTTCCTCCATTTCAATTTTTTACTCCGTCCATATGGGCCTATTTCACAGCAGACATTTTGACTTGAAACAGTGGGATTCTGGAAAGTTCTGCTCGTTAGCATTTTTTTTTACCTAAACTCCACCCACCTGTGCTTTCCTTACTCTTTCAAGTACAAATATCTGCCATGAAATAAGTCTATTCTACAAAATAAAAAATTTTAAATAACGCAGAATACTCCTTGCTGTGTCAATAGTTGGTGAGAGTCCCAACGTAATGACGTCTCAAGAAGTAACATTTGTAGCTTGGCGAATTGATAATTTTTGCAAAACAGCCAAAGCCAATTTTTTAAATACAGTAGTCCCTTGATGCTTTGTGGTTCGACTTTCGCAAAATCACTCTTTTGCGGGTTTTCAAGACAAGATTGTACACATTGTTTCCTGGTGGCCTGGCCGCTCAGTGATCGCCGAGAAACCCACTCCTTTCTCTTTCTGAGGCTGACAGCCTCAGAAAGAGAAAGGGAGGGGGTGGGGTCTGTCTTTCCCCATCGTTGCTGTGGGAGCTTCAGTTAGGCGGATACCAAAGTGAGCAGCATGGATTGTTTATTTAAAATAATCAAGCGCAACCCGAACCGAGCCAGTGCTCCCAATGGCCAGTCCGCCACCAGGTGCTGATTGTCGCTGATTTGAACCATAGCATCAGTCTGTCTGCTCTCTTTCACTGTGCTCTTTTGGAGTTTAGAACATTAAGAACATTGCAAGAGTGTGAGAAGGGTTTATAAATCCTTAATATATATATATATAAATACTAAAATAAATATAATGTCCCTACTTAGCAGATTCTCACCTATCGCGGGGGTGTCTGGAACGTACTCCCGCGATAAGTGAGGGACTACTGTACAGTTCATAACTTTCTTTGTTATAAACCATTTTAACGGACGACCTCGGTAGCGACGGGATCAGGATGAAGCAAAACAGATGCCAAAAAATGAGTTAGAAACAGCTCCGTTGTTTTTTGGTTTCCAGGGCACAAAGCGATAGCGTCATCGTTTCTGAAAAGTGTTTTATCTCCTGTTGGCATTGATCCTCCATAAATTGAGTTTTTAAAAATCTCCCTTTTGGAAAGCGTTTTTGCAAATAAAATGTGCTGACGGACGGTGCAAACAAGTAAAAAAAATGAAATCAGTTAAAAAAAATACATGTGGAGTAGCATGAATGGGATTTTAGCGTTGTGCGCCTTGCTCCAAGACACGTCAGCCAGGATTCAAACCATGGACCCTGCAACAACCTGGTCCGACCTGAGCCAGAAGTCATTAACATCGTAGGAAACGCTTGAATTTCAAGTCAAACAATAGCTGCAGTTTTCTGGAAGTATATTTATATCCTGCACACGATGTATTGAACGTATAAAATACAAACTAAATATTGCTAATGTCAGGATGACGGTTGTGTTTATCACTCACTCCATGGCTGAAACCAAGAAGTTCCTCTGAGCATTTTGCTCTTTGATTTTTTTCATCAAACATGGGGGAGTGTTGTAGAGTGAAGCGAAGCTGAGATTAATGTCAAGGTTGAGGAAATACAGAAACAAGGGAGAAATCATGATAACCCCTGAAGCTCCCAAACAGACCATTTCCACAAGTCCCTCGAGTCGCTTCAGTGTTGCTACGTAAAGACGGCGGCGAAGGGGGGGGGGGACCCAGTGATTACTTCTGGCACTAAAGTCCTTTTTTATTATTGTTAAATTAACCAGCAAGTTTGGATCCCGCCCAAGAATCGGATCCATAGGAGCGAGCCGAGAGCTTGGCTGATACGTAGGGACTTAACTTTTCATTTCGCTTCGCCTTTATGGATTTCATGCATCCACAATAATTACATGTAGCCGAGTTGTTTATCGGTTTCTGGCTTAAAAACAATATTTTCAAGCAGTGTAGGACTCGCTTCCACTGGTGACTTGATTCCAAGTTCCCTTCCATTTCTGTAAAATGTTTGTTGTTGGCTCAAGCCCTTTCCACGAATACTCAAGACGCAAAAACGCTCTTGGGCTAAATCGTTTAAAATATGATCCCCGCACCCCTTCAGTTAGCAGCTGTTTGATATTAAATTAATTCAGTGAAAGTCAAAAGATCCTAGCAGCAGCGGAGGCTTAAGATTAGCCTTTTCATGGCAAAGTCCTGGATAAATCTGCATGTATGCTTCTTGAAATGCTCAAAATGTGCAGTGCTGCTCAGTAATTGGCAAGAAGCTCGTTAGAGGAACTCATCAGGTATACGGCAATGACCGTAATGAATTGAGCACACCCAGAAAATCAACATGGGTGGGACGATGAGTCCCATCGAACTTCTGAAGCCCACGAGAGCCCAGAGGACGGTACGCTTCAGTCACGTGTCCGGCGAGCGATAGAGCAACGCTGCCGCGGTCATAGGTTGTCCTCCGAGTAAAACTCCTTGCACAGCGTCGGGCAGGACAGCTCTTGTCGCGCGGGTTTGATTTCTCTGGCGAGTGAAGATCTGCGCACGGAACTTCTGACGCTCCCCAGGGGGACCTTCAAGGAGCGCCTGACAAAGTGCAGCACGCCGGGGGAGAGGATGATGAACACCCAGGGGTCGATGATGGGGTTCGCGGAGATGAAGCGGAGGGTCTGCAGGTCCAGCGAATGAGACTCGTATTGAAGATCGGTCGTTATGGAGTTGATGTACACCCGGATCTGTGGAATCAACAGAGAAAGGCAAAAGGAGATTACGTATTGGTGGAAACCTGGTGTCAACGCCAGCCATGACCTCACTGGCAAACAAACAGACATCCTGACTGACGTCCGGGTTACAGAGCCAGCACTGAACACGTAACGACAGCCGGTGAAGACCGGGACACGTTCACTGCCGTCAAACTGTCGGACACGAGATGACCAACAGGAACTGAAACCAGCTCATTTAAACACAAACTGGTCTTCAGATACTTCAGTGTCATATTTGTGTCTACCTTTTAGCATTTTTTTTTAGCTAATTTCAGCTGTTTTCAGATAAATTCAAGTTTTCCGTAGTAATTTCTGCTACTTTCAGCCTAATTAAATTATTTCTGCTAATTTTAACTTATGATCCTCTCAGTTTTTTCTGCTAGTTTCAGCGTCGTCTGCTATTTTAGCTACTATTTAGCTGTTTTTATGCTAACTTTAGCTTTTCCAGCTACCGGTAATTCCAATTTTTTTTAGCTCATTTCAGCTCTTTCTGCTTCCTTCTGGTAATTTAAGCTTCTTTACGCCTTTTCTGCTATTTTCAGCTTTTTTAACTAATTGGGCACTAATTGAAGCAGCCACCTATTATTATCCACCTGACAAGGGTTTCTTAACTTTATTTATTTATTGAGGACTGCCTTGAAAGGCAGACACCTATTATTTTCCACAGGAAAAAGGTCTTACTCTTCCTTCAACTTTAACGTGGTCTGAACCTCAATGTGTACCCCCACCAGTGTTGCCAGACTGGGCGGTTTACCACTAATTCGGTGGTTTTCATTCTGATTTTGTGGGTAAAAATTGCTTTGTGGGGATAATTTGGGCAGATTTGGAGCCAGATCGGTGTTTTTTGAGTTAACTTATTGAGTTAACACATTTCAACTAATCATTCATCATTACTGGTCTTAGCGAAGCTCCCTTGATCTGTCTCCATCACTGATTGGCTATTGTCATCTGCCAGGGCATTCAACGTCAGAGCGTCCGCCATTTTGAATGTGGCAGAACTGCCGGTCAACTAAATGGAAATGAACTGAACTTCATAAAGCACCGTTCTACAAAGTCTTTTATGTTAATCCCTGTCATTCACACGCTAATAGATTTGGAAAACTAACAGGAAACAAATACAACACTTGTAACTTTTAAAGTGATTATTTAAAATGTTTACTCCTTAAATGTTTAGGTTATACAGTAGGTAAGCACTAAAGGAACATATGTATTATTTTGAGTGTTTACAATTACTAATGTGGTGATAAATATAGAAATATTCATATTGAACATTTAGTCTGTGTCTATAATAACTGGATCCTGAAATGTGACATGTTGATTTTCTGAATAAAGAGAACTAACGCTCACATTTAACTGAGGTCACATGACCTGGAGGGTTGAGGTCTCTGGAATAAATACTGATTAACCTTTGGAGCCATTTTGGTTCAAGATGGCCGCCACAGCTAACTCGGAAAACTCAAAATTGACTGTAACTCCGTCATTATTTGAGATGTGGAGCTGAACTTTGGTTTGGTCGTAGCCGAGAGCAAGTTGTTGTACATTCCTGATGCAAATAAATAATCCAAGATGGCTGCCTTAGCTAAAAGGGAAAAAAATACAATAACTCAGCTATTTTAAAGATAATGAGTTGAAGTTTGGTGGGGTGGTACCCGACAGCGATGCACAACACAATCTGAATTCAAATCTAAAAATGCAAGATGGCTGCCAAAGCTAATTTCAAAAATGGATATAACTCAAAGGTTTTCAGAGCTATTCAGCTGAAATTTGGTGTATCGGTAGCTGAGCGCAATCCCAAATAGACTCTGAGTGCAAATCAAAAATCCAAGATGGCTGCCTGAGCGAAAACGGAAAAACTCTATAAAACAGCCATTTTTAGAGGTAATAAGCTGAAATTTGGTGTGCAGGTAGCTGAGCGCAATCCCAACACATACTTCTGTTAAATAAATTTTTTTTTTTTTTGTGCTACTAGTTAGCTACTAGTAGTAGTCGCTAATATGACGGGCAGTTCCCGTCAAAGTTTCTCCAGGAACCTCCTCGTTTTTGTGCTCATTCTGCCTATTTAAACATAATTCAGCAAATGTGTGTTCTTTCGGCTTTCTTCTGCTCATCTAGGCTTATTCTTCCATTTCAGCCATATTTCAGACCATTTATTAAAGTTCCTCAGCAATAAGCGTGCACACTGATTTTTCACAGGAAATGCAATTTCTCTATTTATAAATTAATATTCATATAAAAAAAATAGCAGCTTCTTAAATGTTTTCTGTTTGTGGATAATATCTCTCGGGGATGGGATGAGTTTCTTACAAGGTTTTTGTTTTGTTTTTGCACGCTCCAGGTTGGATTTGAATCATTTTACAACCTGATAAAGACCCGATTCAGTTTTATGACGCCCCGATATGTAAAAACCCTCAAACTGAAAGAGGATCTCACGAACGCTAATAAAAGATCTACGTTTTCAGTTCTACTTTTGCGACTGAAAAAAACATCTGCTTCAACTTAACCAGCATTTCCTTCTGTAGCTGTGAACATGTTATTTACCCCTCCCAACTTCATTTTTGTCAAAAAATCAATTGCAGATAGTTCAGTGCATTGACTTGTGGGGTGGTTTGTACTCTTTACTGTCCCGGTTGAATAGTTTTGCACGAGTATTATCTTTGTTTGGTGTCTGCTCGCTGCTGCATGAATAAAAGTAGTAAAACATCTGCGTGTTCGACAAATCAAGCTCCCTGATCTTATCATTTCACAGCAGACACTGCGCCCACAGGATGTTTACAGAGAACAGCAGCGTTCTCAGTCCACATAGGATATTTAATTTCAAACCAAACAGATGGAGGCAAATGTTTTACTGAATATGTGGCAATCTGTGCGCTCTTAAGATGAGCCCAAATCAGACAGGCATTGTCACGCTGATAACCATGGCGTTATCTGCGTAACAAGATAAATCTTTACTGGAACAACGTGCGCCACAAACGTTACGCAAACATTAAAACCGCCAAAATACTCAATGATAATAAAGCAGTGAGGTACCCAGAGGGAATGGTTTGGTTTGGACATAATTTGGACCACAAAAAAAATCATTTTAGTTATGGAAATAAACTGATTTGCAAGGAGCTGCGTCTATAAAGGGTATAACAAGGAGTGACATCACAAGGTGAGCGTTAGTTCTCCGTGATAACAGAGAGTGAAGGTCACTAGGCACAGGTGAGGCCTCCATAGGTGGATTAGAGCTCATTATAGTTTGATAGAGGTCACATTTTGGGTTTATATGAGGTCAGCTGGGCGTATTGTATCACGGATCAACATGCGGGGCAGAACGTCAAAGTTCATGCTCAATGATCCAGGTAAAAAAAACAATCCAGCAAAGTTACGGTAAGTCAGGCCCTCCGGACGGTTTCTTTGTGTTGAAGCGTTTCGTCTTTCATCCAAAAGACTTCATCAGTCCGAGAAGCCACAGCAAACTCAGTCCTATAAGTAGCACACTTGCATAGTGGGCCCACCAGTTTGATTAATTCATTCAACCTTTATTTATACAGGTTAGTCACATCGAGCCATGTGGACTCATTTACAAGAGAGACCTGTTTATCTTACTTAAATCATTGACACCCCCACCAAACCAAACAAAAGATGCCCTGAAAGATCGTCCATACTAGACCTCTTTTTAACAAATACGCCTCATAGCCACTAAATGCTTTGAAAGACTGGTCATGGCCCACATCGAAGCTACCATTGACATCAACGAGGACCCACACCAGTACGCATACCACAAGAATTGATCGACAGAGGACACCATCTCCTCTGTGGTCCACTCTGCTCTCACCCACCTGGAGCAGAAGGACTCCTACGTCCGTATGCTCTTTGTGGACTTCATGTCTTCAACACCATGATTCCCCAGATCCTGATGGACAAACTACTCACCCTATGACTAAGCCCCTCCCTATGCAACTGGGTCCTGGATTTCTTAACCAACAGACTGCAGTCTGTGAGGATCCATAACTTCTCCTCCTCCACCATAATCCTCAGCACTGGCTCCCCTCAGGGCTGTGTGTTGAGCCCCCTCCAGTTCACTCTGCTCACATATGACTGTGCACCTAACCAACCTACTTGATGGTGATAAGATGGTTTCTGGAGTCTGCCCTTTCCCCTGTCAACTCGTCTGAGGAACCCATGGCCAAAGTGGTTCAAAACATCAAAGTTCATGCTCAATAATTCAGGTAAAATAATCCAACAAAGTTAAGTCAGGTCAAACTGGTTGGCAAACTATTGCCCCTTTTCCATAGGTCCTGCTTGGCTCAGCCCTTATTGGGCCAGTACAGATCGGATCGCTTCATTTTCCGTTTCCAGAGTGCCTATTAGTGCCCCGTTAGTGGGCGGATCATTATTATCAACGCACCAACACCTCTTTAAAAACCGTCTCGTTACATGTCGCTCCATCTAGCTCACTCTGAACTTTTTCGTCGGCCAGCAAACACAAAAACGCCTGAACTTCAGCATTTGACCACGGTTGTGACATTATTGTTTGTTTATACCTTCAAAATACTCCAAAATATGCTCCTCCGGATTCGAGTTGTTTCTAATGGCGGGTTAAAAAGAAAATGGCGGATCGGGTTGCAGTGGAAGTTTCTGAAACTCCGCCCTTCGACCAATGACTCCACCCCCTGACCAATTAGTAACCGACAGTGCGCTGACGTCATGTTTTAGGGTCCTCAATGGAACCGCGGAGAAGTAGGTACTGAAAAAACTGTCCGGTTCCACGAAGAAGGCCCTGTGGAAAAGAACACGGAACCGGTCTGAGCAGGGTAACGCGGGGCCAAGGAGGAACTGTGGAAAAGGGGCATATGTGAGTGTGCTACTTATGGGACTGAGTTTGCTGTGGCTCCTCGGACTTATGAAGTCCTTTAGATGAAGGACAAAACGTTTCAACAAAAAGAAACCGTCCAGAGGACCTGACTTAACTTTATTGGAGATGTGACAGA